CAATAATATAAACAATAAGATTATTATTTCATTATAATATTATTACGGTAAATAAAATATTATGTAATTTAGAATGTGAAATATACAATTTTGTTAAATTATGAATTATAAAGTGTCTATGACTTTAAAATTGCAATAATACTGTATTGTCACATAGTTCAGCAATGTCAGAAGCAAAAATATATATTAAGTATCATATTGCTGCAATTTTGAAATTGAGTAGTAGTATATTGACTATTATGCATTAAGACCGTGTGGTATTGTAATAAATGCCATTGAAAATTTTTCTTTTCTAAATTACCTCCTTAATATATTTTTATTACAGTATTTTTCTACTGTATGACATGATTTGTTAGTTATATTCCACATACATCTATACATTTACATATATATATATATATATATATATATATATATATATATATATATGTAAATGTATATTTGTTCACAAATATCATGTATTTTCATTTAATTGAATAATTTTGATATATATAAGCGCTTTAATTTTTATTTCGAAAATTATTTTCTTAGTTTTTTTAAACAAAAATTTTGTTTTGTTTTTCATTTCATGAACATAAGATTTTAAATTTATCTTCACTTATTCAAAATTGTACGTTTTCAAGTAAAAAAATTTAGAGTAAAAAATTTAAATTATGTATTATTATGCGTGTCTTTAAATTTAGTATTGTATTACAACTAATACACAAATCAGTGTTTAAAACTTATAGACTGAATTATGTATTTATATCGTGCTATTGCAATTTTAAATTCAGGATGTAATAATTTGGTTTGAAATCGTTTAATTTATTGTTTCGGAAAAAATTCATATGTTATTAAAACGATATTAGATTTTAATTGTTAATTTTTTTTAGTTTAGGATTACCATTTTTTAAGTTATATCAGTAAACTTGAACATTCTACTAATTTGTACTAATACCAATAATTACTTCCACTTAACCATGAATCATACATTATGTTACATTTTGTTATATGTATGTGTATGTAAACATTACTTTTATGTATTATATAAAATGTAGTTAAATAAAAATAATTAAATAACACATTCCAATCATTCAAATCACATAGTAATCAATCACCATAATATTTAACGTAAATATTAACTGATCAATTGTGCATTAATTTCCAGGGATGATTATTTAAATTATTACATAGAAATAATTTATAATTAATAGAAATAGAATATTTAATTTAATAGAAATAGAATTTTATGTGGGTCTCACTGCAAAAATATACAGGTTTGATGTTACCTTTTTATATTTAGTAATTTTTCACCATTGGTTAATTTTATATATCATTGGTTAGAGGATCGAAACAAAAATCTTAAACTTCAGTTTTTTGTCAAAATAATGGTTCTTAGAAATGTCAACCATTGATTACTTTGATCAAATCTTAATTAGAGTTAAAAATTGTCATCTTAAACTAATAAATATCAATAGTGACAATTTTTTGAGTTTCTACATTTTATTAGGGCCCTTAAAATCTTGCCATAAAAATGGTTTTTATGCGAATCTCCTGTACAATGACTTTTAATGACTTAAAACAAAGATTTTTAAAATAAGTTTAAACAAATTTATTTTTAAAATAAAGCTTAGGCAGCTTTTACAAAACTATGTAAAAAAAGTTTCGTACGAAATTATGGGGTAAGAAAAAACTGAAAAAAAAAAAGAAAGGGAAAAATTTGATTTTTTTGAAGTTCGAATGCTTGGTATTCTAGATGTACATGAAATACAAAATCAAGTAACATATTGATTTTAAGCCTCTTGCTAGCCCTTTGTTTGCAGGCCTTATCTTGTTCGAAACGGAAATTATAACTAAAAAAACTTGGACAAGTAGAAATTTGGTAGAAATTCGTTGAAATCCCTATACCTCAAAAATCCTTCAGATTTGGCACTCGCTCCAGAAAAAAATTTTTACCCATTTTATGATATTTACTTTATGATATTAACTATTGATTCCTCTAATCATTGTTATATTTTGCTATACCTTTTTGAATCACCCTATTTATATGTACATAGTTCAATTAAAAAGTTGCGATTGCACAAATGTGTAGTATACAAGGGTTTTGAAGTTAAGGATTGTAATAATAATTACTATATTAAATTTATTGCATTTTTCGGTATTTAATTTAGAATACCTTCATTAACATATTTATCAACGTTGTTAACATGATATATTTTATTATAGTAAGTTAAAAAAAAAAGTAAAGTCGAATACTATTTTACAAATTAAACGATAAATTTCTAAGGTGATAGAAATTTTTCCATGTTAAATAATAACCTCTTTTTCCTTTTGTACTGCAATAAACAAGTATAAAGTTGTTATTAGTTGAAAGGAATTACATTTAATATCAACCTACAATATCGCATCACATATTCTTTTATATAATGTAATTCAACATACTTTAATTTTCTAAAGAACGAAAACATAAAAAACACTCTTCTTTAAAATTTCATTTTCATCTGGCCATATATTAGATACAGATTGTGCGATATTGACATCAAAGTACAGACTACAGAGTATATGTTTACATGTATATATTTTAAATTTAGTAATTCACAATACGCCAAATTGATTAATTAAACTATTTGAAAAAATTTATTTTTTTTTGTAAAAAGCTATAGTTATAATGTTAAATGAATACGAAATCGTTTATCAAATCATTTATTACATTATATTTAATTTAAAACCAAACTAATCACTGCTTTAAAATCATATGCGTTAAAAAAACTACGATCTTCGAAGCAAAAAATATCATTTATGTTTTGGAAGTGTTTTTTTAACATGCATATTTAACAACTTTATATCACATAGTTGATGAAAAAAAAATCATTTAAAAATGAAAAACAATTTCTGATAAATTCTTTTTTTTACTATAAAGCGAAGCAGTACCTTAATACTTTAACATTTTTTTAATATGTTTTTTAACTTATAGTAGTACGTATGTTATGTTATTCTCAATAGCTTAAAATCATTAAGAATTAATTGTCCATATTTTTCTTTTTATTTGATGAATTTTGCTTTTGATTTATTCAAAGTTTTTAAACTTTAAATCAAATACATTATAAGGTGTGCTCTAACTATTATTATTAAAATGATCGCGTGTGTATATTGAATCCACTTTATGCAATTTTTATTATATTTGAAAGAACAGTGTGACATATGATATTTAAAAAGTAAAATGATTCATGATTCCAAATTTGAAGTAATACTGTATTTCATAATTCAGAAATTACTACATTTTTAAAATTGAATTTCGTATAAATACTTTATTAATGGAATTTTGAATCCATAGAATGCGTATAACTGATATTCGTTTTTGCACAATATATACGAGTATAAGTGGTTTAAACTGCACAAAAATGAGTTTAAAATGTACATTAATTTTACACATTTTGATTGTCACTGTACATATTGTATTTATTAAATTCGCAGAATGTATACATATAAATACACATACAATTTTGGAATTTACATATTTTTGCTTATTTAAAAACATGAAATCGGTTTTGAATTGGTTTTATTTTTTTGCTTTTTTAATATAGAAAATATTTTATATTTCCTTTTTATGTTTTAATAAATTTATGAATAAATAAATAAATAACAATTTTTCAAATTTTAAAAATCTCAAATTTGTATTAATTTTTAATTTCTTGAAAAAATTATTTTACTTCTTTTTATTTTTACATATTATACAAATTTTATAACAAACAAAGCAAATAAATTAAAATAATAAAAAAATAGTACAAGAAAATTCATTTTTAATATTCAATTTAACAGTGATACAAATGTTAACAAGCTATAATGTTAACAGTGATACAAATGAATTAAAATTCAATGCTTAATTTATATATGTATTAATATATATATAGTAATATCTTCTATAACGATATTATTGTAAAAAAAAACATTAAAATTAATTGAAAATATTAAAATTGTTTCGATTATGAAATGGAAAAGGTAAATATGTGTACTTATTTATTTTATAAATTTATAACCTTAAATTAAACAAAAAAATAAATTAAATATTAAAAAATTCATTGATTTTTATGTTAATTTTAAGGTATTCACACATAAAAATAAATCCAAATTCTTACTGCAAAAGAAAAATATCGACAAAACTGTATAAGAAGCTCAACAAAACACTGATAGCTATCGTTATACAAGAAATTAATACACATAATAATAAAAACTTATATAAATATGTAAAATAATGCAATATATATACATTACATTATTTAATTTATAAACATATACATATATATATATATATATATATATATATATATATATATATATATATATATATGTATATAAATTATTTTGAAATAATCATGACACTCATATCAATATAAAATAACGTTTACCTAACATTTTACTTCTGCACTATTCCATTTACATGCTTGATATTTATCTAAACAATGTGTATCGCTGAATTATGCAGAAATGTGTTAAAATTACCATTATATAACATTAGAGTATTATAAACACCAAATCGATATAGTTTTTTATATATATTGTATAATATTCAAATATATTTTTTTTTATTAAAATTTATTGATCGAAAATGAATGCAATTGATTTTATATTAATATCAGTCGGGAAATTTCTATATATATATATATGTATATATATATATAATTTATATATATAAATATAAATATATATTTACACATACAAACTATATTTATATATATTTTTTTATATATCACTATTTTATTTCTTTTTTCATTCTTTTTTTATAACTATCCAATATTTGTTATATTTACAAATAAAATAATAAATTAACTATATTTAATAAAATTAAGCTAAAACTAACTCTATGTATTTTTAAATTTTTATTATAATTAAATAAAAATAAAAAAATTTAAAAATAAAATAAAAGTAAAAATAAAACTAATATAAAAGCTTTCTTATTACACATTTTCCTTATTTATGTATAATTAAAAATATTAAATTAAAATCAAATTTTAAAATCATTTGATACAAATTACATGTGCATTACTATCAAAAAATCTATATAAATTAAAATCGATTTTGTTTTATATAATTTTCGATCAAACTGCAATATCATACAATAATGATTTGAATTTAATATTCTCAATTTATGGACATGAAATATTATAACATATTAATAAATATGTTTATGTATTTAATTATATTAGTATTTCTTATTTTTTTATCAATTGCCAAAAATCCATTCAGTTTATTAACATAAAAAAATTAATTATTACAATTAAAATAGTAATTAATATTTTTTTTTACAATAAAATTCGAATTAAAACTAAAATTGAATATTCATTGTATAATGAATAATATAATTGTATAATTCTCTCGAAGAAGTTAAAATATTTATTTATTTGGTAGTTTTGTAGTATTTGGGAGTTCCCATATATATATGTATGTACGTTAAACCAAAAATTTATATGAGATGATTTTAAGTAATTATCAATTTCGAAATTTCAATAAAATATTTATAATAATTTATTTCAAACATATTGATTGATTTATTACTTATATGTATATAATTTTTTCTCTTTTTCAGTCCAAGTGAGGAGCATAAGGCTAGTGCATGATATCATGAACTAGTTTCATTGCGTCATTGTTTTTACTAAATAGGTGACTAGCCTGCCGTAGTTTTTTCTTTATATTAAATATTTAAATTTATTAATATGTTTATTTTCTTACTTTTTAATATCGAGACCCTTCGGTTAAAGGGCTGGGGCCAAAACCACTGCACCAATGGTCAGAGATATATATATATATATATATATTGAATCTCTATAGAGACTGATGTTGCAAGGAGGATAAGGAGGAAACGGTGACCCACCTCCTACGTTCACGTCCGGCACTGCGAAATCAGGGCAGAGATTTTTGGGGTCCCTCTTCTTTAGACGCGGTACGGACTCAGCGAATGTAAATGTTAAGCACCCTTGCAGACTACTCTACGAACTTAGCCGGTTTTAAAGGAGTCCGATTTTATGGAGTTTTAAGGAAATAGGAAACGGAAAAAACCGGCACTATGTTTGAATTCATTTCAAAAAACCTCTTTTTATAATGAGTTAGTAAAATTCTTTCTTCAAAATAAAAACTTAAAAATGGTTCAATTATAAGGTTGTAATTCACAAATACCGCTATTTTGTAATAATTTTTTATGCATTTTCTTTTTTATTTTTGTGACAATTCAAAAGCCTACCACGTAGTTGAATTCGTAATTCGTAGGATTCTTCGAGAGGAAGTTTTTGATAGGACTGAATATATTTATACGTGGTCGTGGTGCATTATTACCACGGTTATACAACTCTACAAATCTACGTGTATTATTAAATATTCTGTATCTTTCGTTTTTCAAAATTCTGTAGGTAAATTTTTAGTACTTTTAAATAATATCCTTCCGATGAATGTCTAATGACGTCTAATAGAATATTCGCAAACTTATATAAGATTGATAATAAAAGTGAAAAAATTATTCGATTTCAGTTATTTTATATAAATTTTCATTAAAAATTAAAAGTGATAAAAGAAACACTAATCTTTTTAAATTCATTCTATAAATTTTATTTTTCGTATTAGACTCGTTTCTGTTTCAAAATTTTTTTTTTAAATAATTCAATAAAATAATCTATGTTTTGATTTTCCTTTTAATATCAAATAAAACCAAAATAATTGTTGTAATATTTTGTAATTATTGTAATTATTTATTGTAATTATTTGGTTATAATTTTTATTATAACCAAATTCAGAAATTACCAGTTATAGGTTGAATTGTTTAAAATATAGAATAACTGATGTTTAAGGATATTGGGGGCTGAATTTGAATGGTAAAGTATTTGAAAAATATATATATATAGAATATTTATTTATATGTGTATATATATGTACATGTAATGCAAATCGTTTATACACAATTTAGCTAATATCCCAATTTCCTGAACTGTTCTTAAATGATGATTTTACAATACTTTAACAATTTTAAAATGTTTAGAGAATATTGTTTTTTCTTTATTTCTTCCATATTTTCGTGTTTTATTTTTCAACTTTAATTTGTTATAAACATCGTTAGGAAAGAATTTAAAATTTCAAATAAATATCTAAAAAATACAATTGACTATAGAAAGATTAACCCAAAATATTTAATTTGATTTTTTTTAATTGAACAGAAAATATCGTTTTTTACTATTCAAAAACTTTTCCAGGTTTCAAAAAGTAACAAAAAAAAAATTGATTTGTTTTTTTTCCTTTTCCCATATTTAAATTAGTTATTTAATTTGTTTATTTTTTTTTCTTTTTTGTTACATAATTTTAAATTATTTTTTAGAGTTTTATTAGAATATCATTTCATGGTTCATTTATTATATATGTATATATGGATATATATAATATGTATATGTATATATACATATATATTTAATTACTCCAAATTATGTCTATATCTTCGTAAGCGTGCACTATTTTCAGGTTTAGGAGCACCGGGGGGTGGGGTAATATTATTACGTATCTGTTCAACATAATTATTAATATCATTACTATTATTACCTAATATATTCGAATTTAAAGCATTTTGATCATAATCATTAATAATATTTGTTGTTGTTGTTGGAGTTGTAGTTAAAGTTGTTGTTAAATTTGTTGATGATGATGTAATTGTTGATGTTATAATATCATGAGTTTTATTAATTAAATTTGTTGTTGATGGTGATGAAATTTTTGTTTGAGTTGGTGTTGTTATTGTGGTTGTTCCAATTGATATAAATGTACCTATTGTTGATGGTATTGTGCTTATCTTATTATTTGTTGTTACTGTTGTTTGTTGATTTGATATTAAACCGTGTAGTGTGGATGTAACACCACTATTACCACTGCTACTACAACCACCACAAGCAGTTGTTGATGAGAATGATGATTTAGTTTGAATTTGTGACGGTGATGATACTATTGATGTTGATGCTGATGTTATTATTGATGCTGTATTATTAATACCAGATAAACTTAATGATACCGTTGCTATTGCTGGTATTGTTACTGATGTTGTTATTGTTTCTGTTCCTATTAATGATGATTCTGATGATACAATTATACCACCAGTCCCTTGTTGTTGCTGTTGCATTTGCTGCTGTGTTATTGGTGATGATAAAGAAGATGATACTATATAAGTTTGTATTGTATTATTTATATATGATGAAGCAATGTCATCATTTTTATTATTTTCATAATTATTATCTAATAATAACGTTGTATTATTAACTAAGGGATTATTTCCTAATTTTAAATTAGTATTATTTTCATCATTTTTATTAGGATTAATTCCTCGTCCTAATGTAAATTTATTATCATCATATGATTGTGGTGACTGCTGTGTTTGTGTCAAATTATTAACATTTAAAACATTTATTAAATTTAATATATCATTATTAAGATTATTTGATCTTGTTATATTTGAAGATCTTATTGTTGAGGAATTTTGCTGTTGTTGTTGTTGTTGATGCCTTTGTTTACTATTACAATTACATAATATATTGTTAGTTGTTGTATTATTGGTATTCACTGTTGAGTTATTACAATTTGCATTTGATGTCGATATTGAATTTTGTTGCTGTGGATTATAATTTGTGACTATAGTTGATCTTCCAATATTTGAAATAACATGTTGTTGCTGTTGTTGTTGTTGACTAAAGATTTTTTCATCAACACTATTATCTGATAAATTATCATCAAATTGAGTTAACATATGTTGTGGTAGACCCCTTGTTCTAAAATTTTTTAAAAAACAAAATTGTATATTTAATATGTATACATTCGCTATATACGTGCAATATATTTAATATTTAAAAAAAACTTAAATAAAATAAATTTAAACGAATAAAAAGAATATTCAAGATAGAGAATAACACAAACAGTTTTTTAATAACTGATTAGTTTTAGACTAAAATTGCACATTTGTTCTCTTTTAAATATAATCAATATACGGACCATTTTTAAAATTAAGTATTATATTATAGATAACTTGATTATATAATTAATATGTTATTTAGCTATTATAATCACAAGTAAATACCTAATTATTACCCAGAATACTAAAATTAAATGTTGAATTGAAAACCCTTCATTATTTAAAATTTCTAATAAAAATATATAATATATTGAAGCAAATATTATTTTTAAATAATTTTATATCAAAACCTTTTAAAAATACTATAACAACTAAATAATATTCTGTAATGAATTTTAATTGATATTATTGCCGATTTCATATACGGGATGTATACAGGATGTCGAGAACCAAAAGTACTCCTGACGTAAGGTGGATTTAATGACTCCAGACGAGCAAGAAAAACCTACTGCGTCGAAGATTTTTTTAGTTTCATAGATATTTAAGTGCAAAGTCAAAATTTTTTAAAAAGTTTAACCACGCCACTTCATTTTATTTCAATTTTAAAATTTACAAAACTTTTAAAGTTAAAATAAAAATTTGCTATATTAAAGCGAGGGAACAAATTAGCTTGTACCACTATAGCCTACCTAGCTTCTGAGATATCATTAAATTATTTTTAAAATTATAGCAATGCTGATTAAACTACAACTTCGATCAATTAAATGTTAAATAATGTTCTATTATCTAAACTCTTCGTAAAAATTTGGGACAGATTTTGGCTCTATTGACAGTTAAGTTAACACTAGGACGGACCGACATGGTTAAATCCTTTCTAAATTCGACACTGTGTAAGAATGTATATACAGGGTGTCTCCCTTATTCCCGTGCTTTTTTAAAATACTTCTACAGCTTAGAACTGCTACATGAATTAAGGAATCAACATTGTTAACTGGCCAGAGACTTTAATTAGAGTAGTTATAACAATATTCAATAAAAAATTTACAACAATTGCTGAATATTAACTCCATTTGCAGTAATATATCGACGGAGGTGCATGCATTACTGCAAATACATGGTCATATAACTCCATAATATAATGACAGGACGACCCGTCCTGGACAGGTAACGTTTTATGGCACCATACACAGTCATTTTTTGGTAACCAATTGTCCATACAATCTCAGCTGTCTTCGTACGTGACCTGTTTAATTCTATAATAGTAATGCGCTCGTTATCGCAATTCATTTCTAGTGTAACAAAAAACAGACACAATTAACAGGTACTACTTGGGGTGAAATTGCACGACGAATGTAAATAATGACAAATTAAAAAAAAAAAACAGAATTATAACGAGAAAAATTAGTATTTCCAAAAGTACGGGAACTTTTCAAAATACTGAATTTATAATTCAGAGTACCGAATTTATAATACCCAATTCAAACATACGTTCGTAACGCTATAATTAATAACATTTTATAGATTTTGTGTCATTTTGGCGTACCAACTACATTTTATGGCACAATAGTAATTTATTTAATTACATTAATATTGTAAATTTGTGCAGCTAGAGTCTAAAAAGGGTATTAAAGATTATTATTACAATTATTATATTATTACTATTATCTTATACAAAACAAAAAAAAATAACACGTATTTATTTGTGTGCTTTCTTACCTGCTAGTGTTTCTTGATCTTGGTCTTGAAAAACGTAAATTTAATTGTGAAGGATCTGTAACATATTTGTCTATTTGCCTACGTCTTCGAGCTATAGATCAAAATAAAAAATTTGTTTTCTTTTTGTTTTCATAATTTTTTTCTTGTTTCTTTGATTTTTTTTTGAATAAATGATTTTTTTATATAGAGGAAATTATAATACGAAAATAGACGTGTGGAATATAAAACAAAAAACAAAACGAAATAAAAAAAATAAAAAAGGACCAAAAAATAATTTTGTTTTTGGTTGCATTGTAATATCCAGTACAATATTGGAAAACGACATTACAATAAAACATTTCACCTTTTTATAAACCAATAAACGAAAAATAGAAAACCCACTTGTTATGTTTATCGAGTATATGCTTCATAAATAAATAATGCTTTCACTAAAATTTTTAAGAATATTTAATATAAAATTGGATAAAGCTTATTACAGTGAGTCTTCCATAACTCGAATCACTCTGAATTTCAGAAATGAGTTCGAACTAAAAAAAATTTCAAATACTCTCGAACCCGCGTAATTGCAATTCGCTTAAATGCAACAACTCGTTTAAAAATGTACAAAATATTATATTTTCCTATTTTTAAGACTTTCAAGTGCTTTTAACCGGACAACTACAACCGATATAAATACATAAAACGTTATAATTGCAATGTATATTTTAGTATAAAATATGAAAACACATAAAAATACCATCGGTTAATTGCAAAAAAAAAAAATAAAAATTTGTCAGTTTTTAAAATCATTCATAATGAAATATGTGAAATATTCATATTTGAAACAATCACGACGCGTGTTTTTTATATTTTAAGCTTATTTCATTTTTTTGTTAACAATCTGTCAATTAATAATTTATGTGTAATTAGCGAAATTCCTTCTTCAAAATAAAAATTGAAAAATTCTATAATCGTAAGGGTGTAATTCACAAATATCGCTATTTTGTATTAAATTTTTTCTGAATTTGTTTTCATTTGCAGAGTATTCTGCAAAATATAATTCTAAGAGCAAGAATTTTTCTGCCTCTTTAGAATTGCAATTATCTGGGTTACACTGTATAAGAAATTATATATAACAAAATTTAAAATACTAAAGAACAAAAAAAAACAATTTAATTTCATTAAATAAAAATATGTAACAATTACAAAAAATGATTTAATAAAAAGGCCAGCACGCAAAATATAAATTGATTTTTAAAATAGAAATTTATTTTCTAAAAACTATTTTCCAAATAATTATTTTATTAAATTTTCTTTGTAATTGAATGTGTTTAAATAAAAAAAGGGATCCTAATTGTATTATTGTAGATTCGTGGTCGATAAAAACAAATAACAAAATTTTAATTTGAAATTATTGGAAATTCTATTGGATTCAAATAAATATAGCACAATGAATTGTTTAAGTGTTTTAAAAATGAATTTATATGTAAAATAATATATGAATATCATGAGAAATAAATATACATTGAAAAATAAGACACTATGTTACATTCCATTAGCGAAAATGAAAATGTTCATCGAAAATTCAATTTATTAAAAAATTTTCAATAACTGATATTTAAAAAACAGAAATATCATATTTAAATTTTTTTTTAAGCTTTTTCATAATGAACATTAGTCTTCAAACATTTTTAAAAGTAAATTCTCCATTGAAATTGTGTATATGAAAACTGAAAGTTGAATTTTATGAATTTTGAATTTTATATGAATCCTCCGAACTCTAACACATTCAGGGATTTTATTAATTTTAATTTTTTTTTAAATAAAACATAATTAAATTTCTGTTAATTTATAAACTGTTTCATTTTGCATATTGGGAGCCTAAGAGAGCGACAGGTTGAAGGTAGCGAATTTATACGTGTTCTTGTGAAATCTATATAGGAATCCTTTTTTAACATCATAAAAAAATTTATTAGCAAAAACTTTTTGATGAAACAATAATAAAACTTAAAAAAAATTTTATCCTTTTGTTTTCTGTTATTAAGCGTGTACAGTTAAGCGTTACAAATACTATAAAGTATTGCATAAATCACACATGGGCAAAAATTGCTATGCGTTAAAGTAGTTTTGTTTTTATACAGGCTGCAACTATAAAATATGGGATTTATAAAATATTTTCACAGTGGAAGTGATAGAAATACATTTATATTATAAACAGTAAAGTCTTCCTATGTTTTCCTCTCTATAACGAGACAACCTTTATAACTTGACTAGATTTTCATCACCTTTGCACTAAGTCACTTTTTTACATAGGAAAATACCTCTTTAAAGAAACTACCTCTATATTACGTAGGATGACCACTCTTTTTTGTTATTTACATATGATTGCATATTAAAGAACACTCTATACATTGACCGTTAAAAAAAATTTTTGTTTGTGTTTTTACCGTTACTCACGTGTTCTGTTTTTGCTTTCTGAAATGTATTAAAAAAATACAAATTGCGCAGCAATTACAGTTAATTTATAAATAAATATGTATATTTGGAATGGAATTTTTGGTAATTTAAAATTTACAAAAATACAAATTAATCATGTCACTGAATAGGTTTTATGTTTTATTTTTTTTTAATTGATATTTCGGAAAAATTATCAACCATTAAAAAAAAAAAAATTTTTTTGAATTTATGTTTTATGTATTTTACTTGTATGTAAAATACAAAAGAATAATTTTAATATGTAATATGTTTTTTATTGTGTATAAATTAGCATAAATTTTCCAATCAATGAAATGGAAAATATTTTATCTTTCTGTAAATCGACAAACTCTACATGGTGACCATTTTTCTTCCATTCTCAGATGGTCAACTTATGGAGGTTTACTATTGATGTATCACACTACTAATATTGATAAATTACACTACTAATAAATGAAATTCCTTGTTAAGCAATTTAGAAACTGATCAATGTTTCTTAACAATACTTTCAAATGGAAACAACTAGAAACGACTCTTTTGCGAACCATATCTATTATGTATTATAAATATAGCACCAATTTTTGTTTGTTTCATGTATGTCAACTCATTTTTACATCCAATTTTTACACATTTTCAAATGAAGGCCGTTCAAAATTCGAGAAAACTAGAAATTATAGTTAAAATTTTCTGAAACTTGAATTCCTGATATGTTACTTAGAAAACTTTAAATTTAATTTTAATTTAAAAATTATTTGGTTTTAGTCAATTTGTTTTAATGTGACACGCTTAATAACAGAAAACAAAAGGATAAAAATTTTTTTAAGTTTTATCATTGTTCAATATAAAATTAAATCAAATATCTACAAATGTATTATTAAAATTTTTACGATTTAATACGCGTATTTAATTAAATTAAATAACTGATATGTATATAATGATAATGCTTTTCTCTAAAGATGCGTATTTAACATTTTTGTACCTTGTAATTTTATTATAACATATATTTTTATGTATGTATGTGTGTATATGCATATATATGCGAATACAAATATACATTTTTTGTGTTGTTTAGTTTGACATAAAAAAAAGGTAAAAAAATAAAACGGTTAGAAACAAGAAGCCAAAAAATACAAAAAAAAATCTTTTTAAAAAATTAATAATTAAACTTAAAAACAAGAAGAAAAAGAAATAAAAAACAAAAAAGAAAAAGAAAATAAATACCTGAACTTGACTCAGCAACTTCAGATGAACCTGCACCACCGCTTCCATTATTACTTTCATTTCCACCAATATCACTACCAACAGCATTATGACCATCATGTGTTAAATGTAGTTGGTTTTGTTGTTGTATTCCATTATTTAAAAAAATAGCATGCGTTACTAAATTATTTTGTAATGGTATATCACCACAACCAGCCCATGATGCACATTTTGATAAACGTAAATTTGGATTTAATATTGGTATTTTACTCACACCTCCAGCTCCAACACCACCATAAGCCATGTTTTGTGCAATTTGATTGCCTGTAGCATTAGTATTATTATAACCAGGGCAATAATCACTACTATCAGCACCAACATTTCCAGCACATATTGATGATGATGATGATGTTGTTGTTGTAGTTGTTGTTGTACTAGTTTCTTGAGTTTTTTCACTAGATACTTGATCCTGTTGCTGATGTTGAAATACAGATGATGATCCAATTATTGTATTATTAATAACACCTAATGGATCAGTAAATTGATATTCATTAATACAATCACCACTAACATAATTGCCACCACCTATATCACTATTACGATTATTTTTTATTTTGTTATTTGATGCTGTTGCAGTTATTTGGTTACAATTATTAACACTACTATTACCATTAATATTATTATTTGTTAAAATTTTAACAAAATTTTGCTGCTGTTGTTGTTTATTATTTAATGATGCTCCTTTGGATACAGGAGGAGGATATTGTGTTGTATTTGAATCAGATTTATGACTTTGTTGCTGAGATAGGAGTAGTTGTTGCTGCCGCTGATGTTGATTTTTTTGTATATGGAAATGCTGTTGTTGCTGTTTTTGGTGTTGTGGCTGTTGAAGTTGTTCATCTTTAATACTTTTTATGTACAATTCATTTGTCATTTTATCTAGAACATTAAAAAGTATTCTTTGATTATTACTTCTATATACAATTACCGTTATTGAAATTGTTTAATATATAATTAACATTAATTAATAATAGCAATTTTATTATTAATATTGCTTTTATTAATATGATTTATTGCTTTTATTACTGTTTTTCTAGTACTACTTATATTAATATTCTTTTTATATTTTTACCTTTTTTAATATTGCTAGCATCATTTTCAATATCATCATTTTCTTCAATTTCATTATTTTCATCCTCATTTTGCTCATAATAATTTTCATTATCTTCTTCATCATCTTCATTATTAACATTTATAATATTCTTATGATCATTACTATCGTTTTCCTCACTGTCAGCTATTATTAACTTTTGATTAGCTAATTTTCTCAGCACAGGTGTTAAACCAAATGGTGTAGGCTGCATTATTATATCCTTGTTATTATCATCCTCATCATTATCACTAGTAGAACAAATATCATTACCACCACCACAATCAATTTGTCTTGAGATAGTTTGTGTAACTATACCAACTTTATTTATATTATTGCTTAACTCAGTATTATTTTTTATATTATTTGATGGTGCTATTGAAGATGATATTACATTCATTTCTAATTTATTTATTGCTCCCATTGTTGTATTACTAGTATAGCCTCCATTATTACTACCACCACCACCTGTGCCACCAAAACTACCAACAATACTACCACCGCCGCCACCAACACTCCCGCTACCACCACCATTGGCTAAGGCATCAAAATAAACCGATTCGTCAGGATTTGGACTTTCTAAAGGTGTAGTAAAAAAAAAAAAGAAAAAAATAAACAAAAAAATTAAAATAGAACAAAAGAAAAATGAAACAAAAAAAAAAATACAATTAACAAAAAAAAAAAATAGTTTTAGGAAAAGATTCAAAAAATACCAAACAAAAATAATTTTATCAAAACAAAATAAAATTTAAACGTTATAAAGTAAGAATTAAGTAAATTTAAAAATTGTAAGTAAATGTCAAATAAACAAATTCGTTTTTAAATCTTTTAACGAATATTAATGTAACCTCAAGTCTTCAAATACTATCTGCCATCTACAGGAAAAATATATAAAAAAAAGAAAAATATTACACGCAGCAACCGTTTGTATACTCAGATTGCATAAGAAAAGAGAAAAAAAAAAGAAAAACGAAAAATACAATCGAAAACATTGCTTGCATCTCGAATAAGAATTAATTTTAAGAATTGGCATTTTGATCTCATTGTTCATATAATTAGTCTATTATAGACATAATATTTCCATTATATCAGTAATTTCTATTATATTAGTATATAATAGACATAATATGTCCATTTTTATGCCACTTTGTCCATTAAAATTTTAATTGACATACGTATAGTAGTTATACAAAATAAATTTTAAATCTGATTTTCTTTTTCACTAAAAATTTTTGAAATGAGGAAAAAAATATCCATTACTTTGAAAAAGACACTATTTTTGCTAATAAATATATATTTTGTGTGTAAAATATGCAAAAATACTTTATTAAAGCTGATTTTCTTCTGATATAAGATTCTTCTATTGAATCTTAATTCAATAGTAGAAAATCAGTGTTAAAAAGCGCGTGTTTTGCGCACGGAATATACATACATATATGTATTATGACTATTAAAATAGCAATTTTTACAACTAAAGGAATTTTAAAATGTAAATTCGTTTAAAAAATTCTTTTTCGATTTTATTATATTATATTTTTATTATTACTAAATGATTTCCTTTTGTTTTATCTTGATCTTCATTCTTAATCACTATATAAGGAAAAAACACGTATAAGACACAAATTTTGGCTGATACTATAGGATAATTGCATGCACAAAAAATTTATTTCCATCATGTTGACATACAAAGTTAAAATATGTCAATAGTACAAAGTTTTTGGAATCAAAATAATTACTTAAACTTTGGGTCCAGTTAAACTTCTAAAAAAAAAATAGGAAAACGGGTCAAGATGAATTCCAAGTCGTTGAAATACACGTATAATATAATATTATACATAGCACTACGCTTATTATAACGACATCTTGTGCCCTACTTACTGTAAAATATTTTGAAATATCTAATCATTCAATCAAATATCTAATTCATTTGATCAATGTATCTGATCTCATATTATAGTGAATCATAACAAGAAAATCGCAAAAATTTTATTATATATGATTTATTAAATATAACCATAGTACAATACTTGATAAGACGAAATGCAAGCGAATAAATTACGTAAGCAAAATTGCTATTGAATATTTACAAAATGGCAAAAAAAATAAAAAAACAAAAATAAAAACTTAATTACACCGATATAAAACAAAAACAAATTTAAGAATTAATATATAAAATGTATTATAAGAGAAGATAATAAAAAATAATGTTTTTTAAATGAAAATTTGGAATTATGACATTCTCTTTATTTTTAAGACAGCTTTGTTTCTTTCCCTTAAATAGTTGAATCAATTTCAACTTAAGTGCGAAGGTATTTTTAAAATGTCAAATTCACATATATTGGACTACTACAGTTAAATATTATTCTTGTAAAAAAAAAGTAATAAATGTATCAAAACAAAAAAACGGTCAGCTTTTTTCAGATGAACCATTAAGAGAAAAAATATTTCGACTTTAAATAGCTCAACTCAAAACTGACGGAATTCAGAAATCAGAAATTGAAAGAAGGAAAACCGAAATGATAAAAACGAAAATTGAGGAGAACATTAGGAATTAGATATCATCACAGATTTTTTTTCGATATTGTACTTCGAAATTATGTTTAAAAAATGAATATAAGCAAAATGTATGTAAGTAAACTTCAACAACACGCCATGTATAAATACATATATAATAATGGTATTAGTTATAATTTGATATATGATATTCCAAATACTGAATTATATACATATATGCACAAAAATAACGAGTTTGGAATATAATTTTTTTTTATATCAGGAAGAATCGGGGTAATATCAAAAATATAATAAAGTTTCAAAATTTTGATTTTAATGAAGTTCTTTGAAGTCATTTTTTTTTTATTATTAATAGTCTCGAATTTCATAAAACGTAAATTGTTTATAATTACTTAATAAATTAATAATTATATAAATAGAAAAAAAAAACATATAATTGTAATAAATAATAATTATTATACAAAAAATAAAGTGTTACATAGATTATTCAAGTAGTAAACAAAAATTTCTAAATTATTTTTTCTATTTATATATATTATTTTTGTATTGAACGCCTTGAGCAAACAAATTTTACAAAAATAAAATAAATAGCCTTTTTAGATAAAACTTTTTAAAATTTTTTTCTATTGAACTTTTTATTTATATTTATATATATCTTATAAACTGTACGTATATATTTTTCCGGATTCTTCTAAATATAATTTTCAGTTTCATAAGTTTTGATAGAAGGCGAAAAATATAGGCACCACACCACAAACAAAACAAATAATCATTTCGAACCATTCAAAACTGTGACTTTTTTTAAGGTGTCAAATCGAAAATTAAATAATCAAAATAAAAATTAGACGATCGCTGTTCCAAGTGTTCAGAAGAATTTAATTGCCGCCATTTTACTTTTAAAAAGTCTAACCAATAAGTTTGATGAGAATAAAGTAATTCTTATTAGGCGAGTCGAATGGACTAGGCGAATCGAATGTCATTTTAAATTATGATCGGCGAATGCTTTCATTTGCCAGATGCAAAATGTTGCTACCGCAAGACATCAAAAAACCTACTGAAGTAATGAGGTTAACAGCACACATATGTACATTGTTTTTGCTTTTTTTTTTGCAAAAACACTTGGATTTTCCTATCTCTTAAGCAATTTTGTGGTTCTTCTCCATTAATTTAATTAAATGCACAAAATTGTTTTTGGCTCGTTTTTCACGCTTAAATTAATATTAAACAATCAACATTTTTTACAATAATTTGTAGAATTCAAAAACTAAATTAATAAAAAAATTATAGGTAAGTATTAATAAAAAAAAATAGTTTTCACACTACAACTTTGTAGTAAGTATTCAAGTTAATGTCAATACGTGAATTTTTTTAAGCCCATTCATAAAAATTTTACTATAATTTTTCTTAAGTACATGAAATTTTTTTTCAAACCCATTTATAAAAATTTTACTATGACATTCGTGATAAGGGTTAAATGAATACCGGGTGATAAGGGTTAATTCACATAACGTAATAAAAAATTTCAATATTAAAATAAAAAAGAATTTAAATAAGAATTTTCAAATAATGTATACCATTTTTTTCAAATGTTTTTTTTTAAGTAAAATATTAGTAGGAAATAAATAATAAAAGTAAAAATATTATTTAAATAAAAATTGAAAAAAAAAACTTTAATTTAAAAAAAATGTTTTATTTTAGAGATCGCAAAGTAGTTACATAAAAAAAAGAGATAAGAAATAATTTTTTTCTAATACAAAATCCCAATTTCATATTTAATGCATACTAAATTTATATTTAAATGCAAAAAATTAAAAGAAAAAAGAAATTAGCTAATTTAAATATCCACACAAGAAAATTTAGAGATAATTACTCATATTCTAGACAAATCATTTGATGTAATTAGATATTATTCAAAAATATCCCATTACTTGAAATTGCAAAATGTTTGAATAATATCTCTTCACTTCAAATGATACATCTTAGAGATAATCAATTTTATATTTGAAGTTATTTTGAAAAAATTCTTGAATTTTTTTTAAAAACATATTGTGAACATTTTATTCAACTTCAATCAGTGTTTTAAAAAATCTGAAATTATATTAAACTTTGCCAAATAAATTAAAACAAAAAACAAAATTAAATTAAAACAAAAATAAAATCAGTAATGGAAGTACCTACTTCAATTAAGTTTCGATTTTAGATTTTTTATTTTTCGTTTTATATATTTATTTCCTTATTTATTTTTTATATTTTTGTTTTTGCAGTTTAATCTTACCTTGTGGAATAACGCGTATCTCTAAACGACCGCTAACAGCACATCCTTCATCATTTTGTTCACTTTGATCATCTTTCGATATTAAATTATTATTTTGAACTTGTTGTAATTTTTGATACTGTTGCTGTTGTTGCATATTTGTTTTTGTTGCAGCATCAAATTTATCACTTATTAATTTATAAGGAATAAGTTTTACTTCACAATTTGATCTATATGTTAACGGTTGTAGTTGTGGCTGCTGTTGTTGTTGTGATCGTAATTTTTGTTGTTGCTGCTGATACTGTTGATGCTGTTGCTGTTGAATTCCATATAATAAAGTTGTATTTGATTGCGTTTGTTGTTGTTGATTCAATTTTATACATTGTTGTAATATTAATTCATTTTCATGTTCAACATCACTTTGTAAGGCTACATTTGGTAAACTATTTCGATGTCGATTATTTTTTAAATTATTATTAGTATTTTTACTAAATAAACCAGAAGAAGGGTCAATATTATGAAAACCAGAAGTCGATACACTATTATTACCAGCACCTAGAAAAAAAATTATACATATTTTAATAATTCTCTTAAATTTTTAGTCAACAAATTAATTTGGCAAATTTGCAAAAATTTTCTAAATGGAAATAATACAGAAATTGTTCAACTAGTATATTTCAGGGCATTTCATCGCGCTATACAAATATGCAAAACTGTATAACGCTGTGGAAACTATGTAATATTTATTTTTATATAGAATTTTTGCATTTCAACCTTATTCATTAAAGCTCCTTAATTGCCATCGTTATGGAGCTTATTCTGAGTATCGAATCACTAAGTGATAACCAATAGCACAGGTAAATCGTATCAGTAAGCAATACATTATGTGGAATTGTGTAAAATATGTATATTGCATATTTTTGAAAACAGTTTCAATCAAATAAAATTTTTTGTTTCATTTTAAACGCAAAAAAGTTTATTATTAATATTCGAATCATTATTTTATTAAACTAAAAAATGTTATAATACAAAATGTATGTATTAAATTGTTCTTCTTACACAAAATTTTAATAAATGATTGATTTTCAGAGTGGATATAAAGATATGACATTTCACGAACTATAAAAACTGTGTTAGATCTTAATGAATAATAGAATATGTTGAATTTATAAATAATATTTAAATAATCATAATAATAGTATTAATAAGTTATAATAACACGTAATAGTATATTGTGATTATATATTATTTAACCAGTATTATAAATTGAAATAATATTGGTATAAATTACAATAAAATTATTTACAATAATTATAATAAAAATAAAATCAATAAATAATAATTACTTTTACCATTGCTTAAGTGTTCTCTCATTCCAACATTTCTCAAAATATCCATACGGTATATCTATAATAAGAAAGAAAAAAAATTAAATTATATAATAGTTTAATAAATTTATTTCCATAAAAACAGGCATAAATATTGTAGTTTCTTAGTGCTCAAAAAATAAATTTTAATTTTGCATTGATAATATCAAAATATCCATTTCATGGAAAATAAAATAACATTGATATTCAAATAATTTTCTTTGTAATACTTCTTCAAATTTTTTGTATTTCTTTTATTTAATTATTTCTATTTCTTTCTTTGAAAAAATATGTAAATAAAACTTCTTTAACTAATTAATAACTGCAAAATTTTTTTTCATATTCTCTGTTGTTATAAACGTATTACTACACCTTATTCGCTAGCCCTATAAAAATTGAATTTACAAGATTATATAGTTTTTAATGTATTTTTATTTATCTTAGAAACAAATATTTAATAATTTCTTATTACTTAATAAACAATATATTAATTTGTACATTAATTATATAGTCATTATCTAAATAAAGTGATAAACAACAACTAATTGTTCATGATGAGTATATAATTGTTATCAAATTTTCTTTTGATAATCTAAGATAGTAAATGTTTTAATAATAAACTTTTTTTAATACTAAACTTCTCTGGTTTTCTTCTTAAACACTTTTCTGGTTTTACTAAATATAATATAGAATATGTTATAGACAACCATTATAGACTACAATACTTGTCTAAAAATTTTCAGCCTTCAATGTCGGATTCGATATGAAATTTCGTAGATGTATTCGCAAACCCTTCTGAGAATGTTAGTTCTACCTGCTTAAATTGATGTAAATTTGTCGAAAAGCCTATTTATATGCAAGTTTACATCAAAGTTGATTTTGCTAAACCAAATTTAATCGAGTTTGAACTAAAACAAAGCAGGTTTTTTTAATGTTCCTTGATATTAAAAGCTCAGCTTTGATATAGTGCGTATATTGCACACGAAATGAACAGCACAAATGTTAATTAAATGCAAACTAATTTTCAATCTACTTCAAGAGTGGTTTTTGATGTTACATACCTTTAAAAGGAACGCACCTGATCATACAAAACTTAAGAAAAAAGTATTAAATGCGTGCATTAAAGAAATTTATATCACGAAGTTTTTTCAGTATATATAAAACAAAAAATTGTAAATACTTAAACACACAGCACACTTATGTATGAATAATTCGATAAAACTTTTTGCTGACTGAAAATTCTAATAGAAAAGATAAAAGTAGCAAAAACAAAAAATCAATTTCAATGATTTTACTCCTAATATTTTATGCTATTAAAAATAAACTTACCAACTTAATCATTGAAATAGAGTTTTTTTATAATTTGGCATGTTAAATTATTAATTATGACAGCATTTTTTCACCATAAAGTCTATTCTACTTAAGCTATTTTAATTAAACTAAACAATGTACTGATTAGCTACAAAAAATAAAGGTCTTTAAAAATAAAATTTCTATATTATTATCCTATATAATATATTTATATTATATTTTTAGATTTATTTCACTGAAATAATCTATAACACAATTATTGTAAAAATATTGTAATCATATTAGGTTTGATCTTTCCTTTTTTCTGCAGAAGCAGCATAATTGAATATGCATAATAAATGAATAAATTCCTAATTAACTGCTTTTACAATTATGACATTTATTTGATAATTTATGCGAAATTATTTTTAAATATTGATAAAACAAATAGTTAAATACCTAAAAACAATGAATTTGCATATAAACAATTAAACAATTTTACAAAAATATTGTTGTATTGCCCAATTTAACTGTATAATTTATTTTCTCTTAGTTTGGTTTATTGAATTTTAATATTGGTGAATTGTACATTAATATAAAATATTACTGGAACTCGGAAATTCTTGTTTAAATAATTTTTAATAAAACTTATTAACAATTTATTATATTTGTATTTCAATATTATTGTATAGAAATAATATAAATTTTAAGTTTAATATAGCAAAAAAATAATCTTAAAAAGTACGCAAACTTAAAAATAAAAATTCAAAAAAAAAATGCATAAAAAAATAAATCTTACAGTATCATCAAAAGCAGCTTGCTGTAATAATGGTGGCTCCAGACCACTACGTAATATATTTCCTAAAGCCGGCTCAGACCAACAATGTGGAAGTAGTTCTTGTAAATTTGTAAAATTTTCTATACCAGCTATATTAAGATTGCACCTAAAATAAAATTTTTTCTGTTTTTTTTGTTCTTTTTTGTATTTAATTTGCATTGTGTTGAAGACGAAAGGAAAGTGTGTATGGAAAGTGTATTTTACAAAAGTTTTTTCATGAAAATAAGGATATACATACGTTATAATGGATCATATTAAAAATTAATTTTCAAAAAACATTACCTTGACGAAGTTAATATGATTTTTAAAAACAAATTAGGTATAAGAAAATTGAAAATTTGGAAAAAATTTTCATTTATTATATAAAAATAATTATATAACTCTACATATTTTATATTTTTATTTAATTATATTATTTGTTAATTGTTTTTCAAATAACATATAGTGAATTAAATTTATAAGTTATATATTTCGCTCTTAATATATAAAAATATTTATTTATTTGATGCAAACATAATAAAAGGTAAGCATTGTATTTTAATACATTTAAATATACCAACAATGAAACGTAAAAATTTGGAACGATTTTTGTTATCGAAATTCATACATAACTATTGTATTTGAACTAGAAGTTTTCACCGTAAAAACCATGAGCGCTTGATTTAGTTTAATATAAGCGGAACGCAATTTAATATTGATTTTATTCGGAAAATGACAAATTTTCTACAAAATATTTTCTAATTTAATTTTTTAATTCATATTTATCATCCATCTTTTTAACAATGAAACGAATATGATGTACATATGAACTTAAAAATATAAACCTAGAACTTCTTTAACTTCAAAATTACAGATGTACCATATTTACACAATACTTAAATTCTGATTAAAATTTTTCTGATCCGTATTTTAATAAAGTAATAACGTAATTTTGATGTTAAGTTATTTTAGAATTACATACATGGAAAACAAAAGAAAAGAAAAAAACAGACTAAAAAACCAAAAAAAAAATACATACTTTTTACGATTCGTTTCACGTTTTTGTTGTATTGTTCCACTGTTCGGTTGCTGTTTACTGACTAAATTAAGTTGTGATTGTGAAACTAAATTACTTTTATCTCTGTGATCGGGACTCTAAAATTAATGTAATAATGATATTTTTAACACATTTTACTTAATGTTTAAGTTAATAAATGGATTAAAATATAAAAAAAGAACAAATAAAAATAACAGGAAATTAAGTAACATATGTAAATGTTATTATTTTAAAACTAAACTTTAATTTAACTGAAATTAAGTAAATATAAAAATAGGAAACTAGAAACTAACTACAAATTTTCAATATCTAAAGTGAATAAATTTTAATCGTAAAATGTATTAATTCTTTCTGTTGCAACATTGAATACAATTGCTTATTATATATGTAATCAGAATCAGTTTCAACTTTGAGTATTTTTGCTATTTATTAACACAATTATATATAATTTTAAATTTTAAAATTCAAAAAGACCGTATTACAAAAAAAAACTTCCGCGTTCTTAATCTAAAAGAAAAACTGATAGACGATTGGGCAACATATTTTCATTTAAATGATTTGCTTTTATATTTTCATTAAAAGAAAATAAAAAAAGAAATTTTTTATAAGTTTCTCATACATTTTTAGCTATTTATGTAGATAGCCAAATTGCCGTACTGATGTCACACATTATTGAAGTTTCTAAAATTGAAGTTGTAACAAAAATAACTTTTACATAGCTTACTAATTATAATATTATGATGTGCTGTCAGGTCATTTCAGACAACACGGCGTTATATAAAAACGGAGATAAAAAAAACAAACAAAAATTAACACGAACCAAAGTCTACAAAATACTTAGCTGTTGTAAATAGTAAAGTCATACAGAAACCGTTATTATTATAGAATTTTTTTTTATATAAAAGCTCTAAACGAAGAATTAAGGAAAGAGAAAATCTCACTAAAAATTAAAGTTGATGGCGTTTACAAAATTTGAACATTGTATTGTTGAATTTTTATAACATTATAAATTCATTTACATTATACATTACAAATTGAGTAAAAAAAAATAAAAATTAGTTATAATAAAAAGTTTTTAAAACAAGAGAACAAAAAGCAAATACATATTGTATGTAAACAACGGAATGTACAACTCAAAACGAAAGTTCAAAAAAACTTTCTATATTTCTAGGAACAATAAAAAATGGAGTAAAAATTCAAAAATATTCCTTTAATTAACTAAATCAAATAACTATGCCGAGTTCATAATATTGTAAAAAAATTTGTTAAGAAAAACCTTAAAATTAGAAAGAATAACTAATTTTAAATTTAAAATAATTTTATTTTCTTTCGAAACAATACCTGAGGTTCCTGTTTCCATTCATTATCAGTTGTTTCTTCTGAATCGTCAAATTGACTTTTCCATTGCGATGCTAATGTTAATGCTCCACCACCTTTAGTTACTTGTTGTAATGCTGATACATTTTCATCATCAATCAAAGCAAATTGTGTTACAGAATGATCACGATTACAACCGCTTAAACGTTGTGTTGAACCAGTTGCGCTACTTGGTCTTAAATTGGGTCTACGTACACCACTATTGCCGCCACTACTCCCACCACCGGTACTTATTTGTCCAATACTACCAATTGTATTCGAGTCAGCACGATTACGATGGTTACGTAAATCATTCGATTTATTATTAATATCAAAAGAAAACGGGCCATCATTATCTCGTGGTGAACCAGTTTCAGACGCAACATTCATATCCTGCATACCACTTGATTGCTGTTGTTGTTGTTGTGATGCAGTTAACATTCTTAATCTGCCATATGACTTTTCTTGTTTATTATTCGTATTAATTGTCTGATGTTGTTGTTGCTGCTGTTGTTGTTGTTGTTGTTGTGAGTTATTAATATTACCACCAGCATTTGCATTATTACCACCAACAATATTACCAATATTCACTGTACTATTGTTATTTAAATTAAATAACGGTATAACATTTTCATTATTTGAATAATACGCTTCAATTAAATCATTTGTAGATTCAATTTGAGAAGTTGAACGTCTTTGTTTAATTGGACTATTAGAACTTTGCTGATGCATATTATTACTTTCTAAATGTTTTATTTTAACATTTCCACCAATTGGCAAACTATTATTTGTTGGACCACTATTTAATAATATATCACCGGTAATAATACCACCACTACATACGGTACCACTTCCACCATGCTGATCTGGTTGTTGTTGTAACAATTGATAATTATCCCGAATATTAAATTGTGATTTATTAATACCAGATATAAGATCATTATTGCTTCCATGGAATCGATCACGTGATAAATTAATCATTGCTTCACTTGGCACTTTTTGCACCTTAAAATACCACAAAAAATGAAAGAATTTTACAAAAATAATAAGTAAAATATTAATGATTTTACGCATAGAATGTGTGACATCCAAATCGTCTCAAAACAAAGTTTGTATACAGTTTTTATACCGCTCTAATATAAATTTATGTTACTTTATTTTTGCTTTAATTTCACTTTTATTAAATATTTTGAATCAGGTAACGTTGTAGAAATTTTTCGGTTCACAATTTGGATCATAAAACTTTGTAAAGTTTGTGTTTTAGTTGCAATTTGGATGTCACAGAATTATTATTTGATATTATACTTTGAAAAAGACTTTATTTTTTCATTTATATTTTTTTCTATTGTAATTGTTTGATATTTTTCTATTGTGTTTTTGGCTTTAGTTATATGAGTTATATGGTAAATAAATTTAAATGGATTTTTTTTTATAGAAACGATAAAAGTTTGACTTAGTTTAAAGATTTTTGGTTTCTCAATACTTAGTTAATATAAATATAAATCATAAAAGTTTTTATAAAAATACAAATTGTGAATATACAATAAGATATTTAACATACTTTAATTGGTGCAACAGGTGTTGAACTTCCCCCTTGATGTAATCCAGAAGTTGTTTGTTGCTGTTTCAATGCTGTCGTTGAATTTGACATATGCCCCAGATTCGAAATGGAAGGCAATTGCTGTTGTGATCCAGCACCAATAACACCTCCTGAGCTAACTGCACCATTGCCAGTATTTCCACTACCAATACCAGCATTAATATTTGCTCCACCACCGCCAATGCCGCTGCTTCCTATTACAATAGCTGTTTGTAATGTTTGCTGTTGTAACTGCTGTAATAGTTGCATTGAATTGGTACTTTTATTTTGAATAATAATGACTTCGATGTTAGATGATGTTGCGGCATTACAATTACTATCAACCTTTTTCAATAGGTTTTTTTTCATTTTTTTTTATTTTAATTTTTAATTCCGATTTTTTTATGAATTTTAGTGTTTAAAAATTATTTTTTTCAATAATTGGAAAATGTTTTAAAAATATTTATTATATAATAATTGTTTATTATATAATAAAAAAAAAATGAAATATTTTTTATTGCGAAAATTATGCTATTTTGATGTTCATATGTATATATATACGATACATATATATATGATATGTATATATATGATAGAGGTATTTTGGGAACTTGGATGTTGTGTAAATTACTATTATATTTCAAAATTGAAAATTATTATATTTCAAAAAAGAAAAAAAATGTAAAAAAAATTAAGGAAAAACGTTCTTGGCTCTATTAAAAAAATATTTTGTAAACATTTTTTTATGATTATCAGAATTAAATTTAAGGTGTTAAAAATTTAGTTATAAAATAAATTAAGGAGTTTTTCAAACGCATTTCATGTATAAGATTCTTTGATACTAATACATTTTAAACGTTATTAAAAAATTTTTGAAAGTTTTTCTTGAAGATGGAACAGGTACAAAAATCGGTTACTGAAATACGTTATTTTAATTCTATCTATGATCAAGCTTCTCCTGATTTAGATTGGAATCAGGAGAAACTTAGTCATAGAACATTCTCAGATTCAGGATGAATCAGATTTAAAAACCGTATTTTTGCATCATGCAATTCAGGGAAATTAATATTTAATTAATAATATAATTAACATTAAGAGATCTACAAATACAAATATCAAATATAATTTGTGAAATTTATTAGTTTCCTGTCTTTTTCACATTTTAATCATATTTTTTATTTAAACTATGTCTTACTGACATTCAAATTGTATCGATTTGTATAATTGTATCTATAAATATTTCTTCTTTTATGTTTATAAACGTTTAGTTATTTTTAAAAATAAAAAAAAAGCTTAGTGAAAATAAAAACTATGAAATACTTTGCTTTTTTTTTATAGTTTAAAAGTGAGAATCAAAAAAAAATTTGTTTACATTTTCATTTTTATTTCCAAAATAAAAAAAGAAATTAGGTACATTATGTATAAATAATTTCAAATTGAGAACTTATAAGAACCGAAAAGATAATAATCCAAAAAAAAAAAAAAAAAACAAAAAAAAACAAAAATTAATTTTTATTTGATAAGAATTTCAAATAAAAAAATTAATAATAAGTTTGCACACATGTTATTTTATACTTAGTGAATATATTGAACAAAATCACAACAAAAAAAAACAAATACTTGTAATAATACTCGTAGATACCTTGTCTTTATGATGATTCACTGGTTCCGTTGTTGCCATTTGTATATCAACATCGTTTCTTCGTCGGACCTAAAATTAACAAAAAAAAATTATTGAATTCTTTTAATTAAGTTTGTTCTTTTTTGTTCCCTTGAGTTTGTATTTGGAATTCAGAAATTTTGTTTAATGAGGTTTTTCGCCTTTTCATGGTTAAAAAAATTCAGGAATCACGTGATCCGTTATGTGGAGTAATGCTTTACAAACAACTTTTCGAAATAAGAAAATCTAGTAAAACATTTATAAATCAATATTTTAAAGTTTTTTAAAATAAGTAGGATGAATTAAATGAGATTGCAAGTTACTATTCTCAAGAAACTGATAGTTATCATACAACTCAATTCGTAAACAATTGAATATGAGAATTTTACTGTAGCAATAGAGATACGAGATGATTTATTTATGAACTTTTATTACTTTGAATTTAGAGCGAAACAGAAAGTGTAGTAAGAATCAAGTAAAATTTTTGAATGAAGATGATTCATTTAGCGAGTATAAAAATAAATTTAACAGCAAAAAGTTTCATAAATGATTTAAATACAAAAGTTTTGATGGTTATAAAAATCAACTAAGAAAAATATGTCAAAAAAAATGTTTAGTATGTTTTACAAGGAAAGTTTAAATCCCATTAGTACGTCTATGAAAGTTGATCGATTGCACGATAACTCAAAAACGAATAATGAAATCGACACCAAACTTTCACAAGTTTTTTCTTTTGTGCCAAGGACGAGCCCTATTGTTATTGGACTAATTCGGACAACGGGTTCGGGTAGCTACCATACAACTCAAAGAGTTTATTTTAAATATTTCAAAAACTAATAAAGGTATAAATATAAAATTTTGTATAGATGTGTCCAATTATATTCTACACATGCTCTAAAAATTATAATGAGATAGCTGCACCGGTTCGGGTGGCTGCCATACAACTCCAACAGCAAATTTTTTATATTCGGCAAAATAATAAAGTCAGATTCATGAAACTTGGCAGTCATGTGTCCAATTATGGCTCAAATATATTTCTGAAGTTTTGGTGGAATTGCTCGACAGGTTCGAGTAGCTCCCATACAAGTCTAAAAGCTTATTTTAAATATTTGGAAAAATAATAAAGTCAGATTCATGAAACTTGGCAGTTGTGTGTCCGATTATAGATCAGATATATTTGTGGAGTTTTGATGGAATTGCTTGACAGGTTCAGGTACGTGCCATACATTTCCAATAGCTAATTTTAAATATTTGGGAAAATTATAAGGTCAGATTCATGAAACTTGGCAGTCGGATGTCCAATTATAGGTCAGACATGTCCGCGAAGTTTCTATAGAATGATTTTAGAGGTTCAAGTAATTGCTACACAATAACGAAAGATGCCGGGTATAATTCAATCGGTTTATACCGACCGAAACGTTTTTACTTGTTTAAACTTCAAATATGGTTACTATTATAAACATTAGGTAGAACTTGTATAAGGGGTAATAACTCGGCAGCGAAAGAGCTATGACTTGGAAGCAGGGTGCAATACGAAAAAAATGTTCAAAAGAACTATAAAGTTGAAAAAAAATTATAATTAATAATCACCATTTTTTTTAAATTTTTTTTCGCAATTTGCAATGAGGTCTCTAGTTAAAGAGAAACTCCATGAGGGGATTAAAAATATTGAATATTTCTATGTTTAATTCTATGTTTAATTTGTTAGTATCACGAAAAAAATTGCTTACATATTCAGTACCGCTTGCGTTTGATGCAGCAACAGTCATTTGGGTAACATTGCCATGCATATAATCATTATTTTTGTTCTGTGTAGCATTATTACCCTGCACTGAATTCGCATTACTACTTATATCTGTTTTTTCCCAATCATATGGATCCGATTCTTTAACACCACGTCTTTTCATACATCTTTCAAATAATGAGGCCAACATCTGGATACATATACATTAGAATTAATTATGAAAAGTTTAATAAAAAATTATTTGCATAATTTCATATTTTAATAAATAAATTTTTAAGTTTTTCATCAAAAATTAAAATTTACCGAATAATCTGGTCTATCAGCATATGTTAAAGATTGTATATGTTCTAAGAATTGTTTTAAATCTGACGGTAAATGCTTTAATAATAATCTATGATCATATTTTTCTTTCATTAAACCAACTTGTTCTTTATCTTTTATTTTTCTCCATGGCAATTGACCATTTACAAATTCTACTAACATGTAAAATAATGACCATAAGTCATCATGTCTACCCATTTCACGATTTCTGTGAGCATTTATTGATGCATATCTTACAGTACCACGAAACCCAGCTGCTGTTCTTGGGCATCTTACTTCACCTGTACCAGTGGTATATTGTCTTGCTAAACCAAAATCTAACATATAAACTCTTCTACAGTTATACGGCAAACGACCAATTGAAAAATTACTCTTTAAATAAAAAAAATTAACAAGTTTTTCAATCGTTCATTTCTTTTTTGCATTTATATATTTAAATTTATATTTTACCGGTTTGATATCACGATGTAAAAATCCAACTGAATGTATTGATTCTATTGCCTTTAAAATTTGCAATCCTAAACGCAATGTTGTGCTTAATGAAAATGCTCCACGTGGCTGTGCTCGTCTCAATTCAGCTAAATTTTTACCTTGTAATTGCATTACAACATAATTAAATCTATCGTTCCTTCCACAACCTATAAATCGGCATACATGCTCTTTCCCCTGTAATTTTTTTAAAACAGCTACTTCCATTTTTAAAACTTGTTTTGGTTGCCTTGCAGATTCAACTTTTAATGCAACTTGTTCACGAGTTATTAAATCTTGTCCTTCATATATTTCACCAAAACCTCCACCACCAATTTTTCTTACAACCTAGGGAAAATGAAAAAAATATATTTTTTAATCAAAAACATATTAACAAATGTAGGGTAAATAAATGTACTGCCATATATAAAAATATATTCACAACATGTTTACAATTTACTCTACACCGTGCTGAAGGATACATATGTAAACTTTAGTTTGGAGTTTGTGACAATAACAAATTGTTATCTGCGTTTGAGCATGTTTGCATGCTTCTTATCAACGTAAAATTTAGCGTTGATTTAGGTTTAGACATTTAACTCGAGCACAAAAAAAGCAAGTACCACCAAACTTTCAGTTTTGCATCACAAAAGATTATCTTAAGTAAATCAATATTTGCAAAACTAATACAGCTAGATGAAAGAAGTTTGGCAGTCATGTATTCAATTACAGCATATACGTATGTTTTAGAAGTTTTTGTGAAATAACTTGACAAGTTAGGTAGCTGCCATATAACCCTAAAATCTAATCATATACATATACAGCTGTTCCTCTATATACGTTGTTTTGATATCCGTTGGCGAGATTTTTGTTCTTCGTTCTTAATATACAGTAAAACACGGTTAAGTGGATCACGCTTAAGTGGATTTCACGCTTAATTGCATCAAATTTTCGTGGCTTGTACTTTTTTCGATTTTTTCATATAAAAAAATTCGTTTAAGTGGAATTCGGATAAGGGCACAACACGCTTATCTGCACATATATTTTTTCCCTCATGTAATACTTAATATGTAAATTTATTCGGTTAACTGCACATCCCTGTTTTTATTTAGCATAAATGTCAAAAATGAAAAACTACACTCTCAACTACAAAATAAGAAAAGCAACACTATGTAGCTACACAAAATATTTTAGTTTCTATCATTGTCAAATTTTGAGTGTTGAAAAATTAAAGTTATACATATGTTTTCTATTAAGGGAAATTAATTTACCATTGCTATTATTATTTTTAAAATGAAGTTAAATGTGCAATTTTTTGATTTTTTGTTGATTTTGAAATAAAATTTTAATTTTTAACTTATAATTAGAACCAGTTTTTAATAAATTCAATTCTTTGACATCGGAGGTAATTTTTTAAGTCGAATTCGTAAAGTGGAAAACACGCTTTAGTGGACAAAATTTTCTTGGCTGATCGATTTCCACTTAACCGTGTTTTACTGTATGTTGTTTCTATATATACGTCGTTGAGAAATTATTTTTTATACCCTGCACTTTGTGAAGGGTATATTAACTTTGGTATGGAGTTTGTAACTACTTGAAGGAGTCGTCTCCGGTATGGACATACATATATATATATTCTTGCTCAGCGTCAAATTCTGCGTCGATTTAGACATGTCCGTCCGTCCGATCGCACGATAACTCAAAAACAAATAATGCAATCGATACCAAACTTTCACAAGTTTTTTCTTTTGTGCCAAGGACGAACCCTATTGTAATTGGACTAATTCGGAAAACGGATTCGGGTAGCTGCCATACAATTCAAGGAGTTTATTTTAAATATTTCAAAAACTAGTAATGGTATAAATATAAAATTTTGCATACATGTGTCCTATATATTCTACATATGCTCTGAAAATTTTAATGGGATAGCTGCACCGGTTCGGGTGGCTACCATACACCTCCAAAAGCAAATTTTTTATATTCGGAAAAATAATAAAGCCAGATTCATGAAACTTGGCAGTCATGTGTCCAATTATAGGTCAAATATATTTCTGAAGTTTTGATGGAATTGCTTGACAGGTTCGAGTAGCTCCCATACAAGTCCAAAAGCTTATTCTAAATATTTGGAAAAATAATAAAGTCAGATTCATGAAACTTGGCAGTTGTGTGTCCAATTATAGATCAGATATATTTCTGAAGTTTTGGTGGAATTGTTTGATAGGTTCGAATAGCTCCCATACAAGTCCAAAAGCTTATTCTAAATATTTGGAAAAATAATAAAGTCAGATTCACGAAACTTGGCAGTTGTGTGTCTAATTATAGATCAGATATATTTGTGAAGTTTTGGTGGAATTGCTTGACAGGTTCGAGTAGCTCCCATACAAGTCCAAAAGCTTATTCAAATATTTGGAAAAATAATAAAGTCAGATTCACGAAACTTGGCAGTTGTGTGTCTAATTATAGATCAGATATATTTCTGAAGTTTTAGTGGAATTGCTTGACAGATTCGGGTACTTGCCATACAAGTCCAAAAGCTTATTTTAAATATCATGGAACTTGACAGTCTGGTGTCCAATTATAGGTCAGACATATCCGTGAAGTGTCTATAGAATCACAGGTTCGAGTAATTGCTATACGATAACGAAAGGTGCAGCGTATAATTCAATCGGTTTATACCAACTGAAATGTTTTTACTTGCTCTTTTAAATTTTGATACATCTTTTCTTAAAATAAAATATTTTGGTACAATTTCTCTTGAAATAATAAATTTTTAGTATATTTGCATCCAAATAAATAATTTTGGTACATTACAATTTTGCTTGTCAAAAAACTGGCATTGCGAATGTCATATTCATATTTCAATTTATTTCGTTATTTAGGTTTAACTAGTAATTTGTTCTTTTATTCGTACGAAGGTATTAATGTATTAGATGTGCGAATTTTTAAATATATATGCAAACATACATATATGTATTTCTCAGTATTTTTCTAGTAAAAAACATACTTTTTGTAACGTTGTTTTGATATACGTCGTGTTTGGCAGGAACCAAAAACGACGTTAATCGAGGGGTTTCTGTATTAACAAAACTAATTGAATTATTTCCACAAAATTTAGTAAGAAAAAAAAACCGAATTATAGCTTGAACTACACATGCTTCAAAAAAATTTTTCAGCTTAGTCGCTAGTTTCGATTATATAATTAGATTATCATGTAGGCTATGATTTAGTTGGCTTTGATTGAAGTTTTTACTTGTGTTTTTAGTCAAATTAAAACTAAGTTACAGTAAATTTGTATTCAATTTAAAAGTTGAAATCTAAGCATACACTGAATGGTATAGAATACAATGTTACTTTAAAGTAACTTGGATATAACGGTATACTGTTCATTATTATTTTTAATTTATTTTTTCTTGTTTATTATTAGAAAATAATTAACAAAATGTTATATTATACCTTCCATCTTTCTTTTACCACATGTCCTGGTTGCAGAAGATCTTCTGAAGTCATTCTTATATTATTATTACGATCGGTTGTACGTGAGGGCGATGCAATACGAATTACACGATTTCTACCACCTTGTAAACGTCTTGGATTTGCTGGTAAAGTTGCAGAGCGTTGTAATATATTTTTTATACCCGATAAGTTTGGTTGTTGTTGCACTTGCAGTTGCTTTTCTGATTCTTGTGATTGCTGCTGCTGCTTTTGTTGTTGTTGCAAGAGTTCTGCTTCAATTTCATCTCTATAAATAAATTTTTTTTTGAATTAGAATTAAAATATCCCTATTTATTAATAAATAGTTAAAATTAAGTTTTTATATTTTATGACAAGAAAACAAATTAGAGATGTAAATTTTTCTTTGAAAAATTAATATTATTGATTGATTCAGATTAGAATCTAAAACATCGATCTACCCAAAATCGTATACAAAGATACGATTCAGAAGAAATCGAATCAAATTTCGAATAAAAAATTATATAATAATATGTTAAAACTTTTTATATAACAATACCAAGGTACAGTCTATCTTTTATGTATGCTACTGTAATTTATTACAAGTACGAGGTATAATATTTTATTAGGTAAGATATATATGTCTTGCTTTTCAACTCTTGCATTCTATCTTTATTCGTTTTGAAAAATAATAACAATAGAATTGAACAGTAACTTTACATATATAACATAAATATATAGATAAATAAGCTAATTATCTTCAAAAAGAAACTGAAAAAACACCGACTGAAAATAAAAACAAAATTAAGAGCAAAACAAAGCAAAAATCAGCTCATTGGTTCGTGTACGTTCCAGAAATTAAAACGATTTATTTGTAAAAATTTCTATTTGGAAAGGGCAATTTTTTAAAATTTTAAGTTTGTTTTTTTAACTGAACTACATGTAGACGTCAATAAAGCTTTGAAAAATGTTTTTGAATAATTTAATAAAATATTGACTAGATTTTCTTTTCGATTTTTATATTTCATTCGATTGTTTATCGATCTTCTATAGAAAAGCGAATAGATCGATCTAGGAAAAATCGATTTTTAATCTTTTTTAGTCATCGACATGACAAAGAAAATACATTAAGAAAGTTAATTGATTTTCGGAAAGTGTAATACCTTGATGTACTTTCCCTCGTGCTTCTTTTAAAAATTGCGAAAATGAATGAATTTCGAAAATCACATAGACTTGGCGGTTTTTGCGTAAATTAATCAAACTTTGAATAAATAAAGTTTTGTAATTTTTTTTACAAATTGAAAAAACTTTCTCAATTAGATTTCATTGATAACTGTGTTACCGTCGAACTGGGAATTTTCAAACTGTCAAGCAGCACTTCTGTATACATCTTTTTCGTCATTATCTGATTATTCTTTATAATTAATTATTGTTACTAAAATCATACGAAAAATGAAAAAGGCATTGAAATATTTCAGTTTTCCGCGAAAATTATTCATAGCAACCATAACAATCCATCAAAATTTTCTATGATTTTTAAAATAGCATAAGAATTTCTTTTTTCTGACAGATTCATCAGAAAAAATGTTATGAAATTCATATAAATTATTTTATAAACGAAATTCTCTTCATAGTGAGCATACCAATACTCGTAAAAAGTATAAGGCGCGTTGTGAAAAAAAAGAAAAACAAATATTTTAAGATAAGAAAATATAAATTTTTGTACAAAAAAATGACTTGATGCAAAAATACAACTTTTTATTTCAAATTCATAATGAATTGAGAAGGAAAAAGGAAAATACAACTTGTGGTCATCTTGGCTTGCAGTAAATACCTAATTAGGGGGTAATTAAACCCCACCAAGAACAAATTTAAGAGACTAGTAGCGATAGAACAGAAGAACTCAATGAAAGAAATTGGGAAAGAATAAGAATTCACCGAATTTCTCAATCAAGGGTTTTGATTGTAAGACACATACATATATGTGTGAGACAAATCATACATAGCAACAGAAGACACTTTAAATAAGATATACGTATATATAAATATATGAACAACCACCTACTTACCAGATGGAGGAATGTGCTTATCAGGCTACTTGGTTAATATCATGGAAAAACTTTATAAAATTAATATGGATAACAATTATTTTGTCTCATCATGAATTCCACTCCTAAAATTCTAATCATTGGTATGAATCACCAATGGCAGTATCATTTTCAAAATAATTATTTCATTTTAATTGTCAAATGTTTATTTATATTTTTTTGTTGCTAATTCAGTCATCAACTTTTATAAAAAGGATATTTTTTAAAATATTTTTGAAAAGTGGAAAAAAAATTGTTTTGGCAATATGAGTTCATTTCCTTTCTGGTAGCTGTGTTAGAGTAACTCAAACTCAAACAAAAAAATTCAAAACTTTAAAATTTAATACGATAATTTTCTTTAAATTTCTTGTTACGTGTGATTATTATCGTAGACTTTTGAGGGTAATTTTTTCTACGAACGTAATTTATGATTACTCTATTACGAATATTCAAAGCAGAAATTTAGTACTTCTTAATTGACAATATGATATCAGTAATTTTCCGAATTTCAGAGCTACGAACGAAATTCATGACATAATGATCGTAAATTCGTTTCATAGAGATTATGAATCAGCAATATCAGTACAATTTTTCGGAGTGTCAATTTTATTTCAACTGTCAAATGTTTATTTATATTTTTTTCTAGCGAGTAAACAAATTGTATGAAAGTTCTGCAGTTTTTTTTAGTTTTTAAATTTTTTTGCAAAGTAGAAAAAAAATTTTTTAGTAAATAAGAATTTATTTCCCTTCATCTTAGCTGAGTCAAAAGAAGAAGAAAACACAAAACTTTTAACTTTAGAAAAAAATTTAAAAAGACAGTTGTTTTTGAATTGCTGGTTACGAGTGATTTTAGTAATTCAGAATTGACAATGTAATATACGTAATTTTCCGAATATCTAGGTGTAGTAAAAACCAAAGTATATCTATTAATAAGTTGTTCGACTCTCCATTTACATCACACTAAGGCAATCCTCACCAATTTTTGTACACAAAAAATTCCCTTAGCTAAAAGAGTTAAGCAGTATACCTTTTTATTTTCATTTTTATACACATAAGAATTTTTGGGAGAGGGAAATGTACGCAATAGATGTCTACCGTTTTTTTTATAATGTATTTTTAAAAGCGGGAGTTATTTATTTTTCCCTATATACTTTATATAGGGAAAAAATATTAAGAATTTTAAAGTATATACTTTGTAAGAAAAATGTTTAAAAAAAATTATTATAATTTATATAATATAATTTTGAAAAATAATAAAAATAAATTTTGAAAAGACTTATAATATTAAAAAAAAATTTAAATAGTTGTGAAAAAAAATATTTTTTTTTATAAAAATGGGTAAACATTATTGGAAGTGTTTGGGATGAAAAAAAGCCGACATTTCAACAAATTTCATTTGTTGCCAAAAGATGTGGAGAGGCAAATATGTACTTTTGAAAATATTTTAAATATTTAGTGTTAAGCATTTGTAATTAATAATTATTTAAAAATAAAATAAATAAATTATCTTTAAATTTTCTATTTTTATTTCAATCTTAATAAATTTAGAACATATTTCCCATGTAATAATTATATTTCATAAGGTATTAATCAGTATGCATATTATAAATTACTTTATTTCTATGTCACAACCTGATACTGTGTATCTATTGTACCAGGTACACGCATGTGTACATTCATACATGAAATTTCAAACTCTTTTGCTTTCATACATTCGAATTTTTTACCTAACTTTAATAAAATGAAAAATAAATTTTGTTATTATCAAAATAAAAATAACAAAATTTTTACCTAACTTAATTTGATTTTATTTCAGTTCAATGCTTTTGATACACTCGTTTGTTTACAATATTTTGTTTCTTTCTTGCCTACACAACTCTTATTACCATCTATTTCTAAAAAAATGGAATATTTTAAGAATTTGAAAGCAAGATGCAAACGAAAACTAACGGAATGGAAAGAGTCGAATTACTTATTAATAGATATACTTTGGTAAAAATTTAAAAATTCCTTTAGAAATTTAAGGGCAACTATCATTTTCGAACATGTTATTTTAGCAAATTTTGCAGTTTGGGTTTATTGAACGACCAAGTTAGAATTAAAGCATCGAAAATACCCATACTCATTCAAAAAATTTTTTACAAGCTAAAGGAAAAACAAACATAATTCCATTTCCAAAAAGATATATAGGGTGATTCAGAAAAGTATACAACAACATATACCATTGGTTAGAGTGTCGCAAATGGGTAAAACTTTTGTTCCGGACTAGGTGTGAAATGCCAAGAGTTTCCGAGATACAGGTGTTTTAACGAATTTTCACGAAATTTCTACGTATCTAAGGTTTTTTATTACAGCTTCCGTTCCGAAAAAGAGAGGGACTTGGAACAAACAGTTTCTGAAAGGCCTAGTAAAAGGCTAAAGGGTATTTCAATAAAAATATTAAAATTCAGATTTTTTATCAAAATAACGGTTCTTAAAAATGTTAACTATTTTTTAAATAGAATTGCAATAAAAAATTGATAGTAGGTGACAAATATGTTATATAAATATTCTACATGTCTGTTACTATGTATAAATATTCTACATACTGATTGTTATTCATCGTGTTGAAATAGAATACTTGGCTTTTTATTAATAGGAAGCGGCATTAGTAATAGGCTTATGGATTTTATTCCTTGCTAAGTATAACATTTCTTTGTATTATTTACATTTCTACAAAATTCAGCTTATGAATTAGAATTGTTGGAGATTAAAGTATGTAAAGTATTGAGTCAAAGTTAAAATTTCCTGTGGAATATTTTTTTGATTTCTGAGAATGGGTACTTTATTGATGCAGTAAACTTAGTAAAGTATAAAAAAAAATTTTATATCAATAGGAAACTATAAAAAAATTGTTTCTAAAAAAACTTGAACAAAATCAACTACTATATTGAGCTGAGAACATCGTTTTGCTCCGTTATAGGAGAATAACCCAAATAAAATTTAAGAATAGCCCACGGCTGACAGAAATGATTTTTTGTAATTTTAAGGTATAACAAAATTTTAACTTTATTTCAAAAACGCGTTTAATAAAAGCGAGTAACTACCTACACACACATCTACCAACAAATTCATGTTATATTTTATTACAATTGCAAGAAAGAACCTACTCTATAAATTAGGAATCCACAACTGTTTTTGTTTGATGCGTAAGTAACCATTT